TACAGCTTTAATGGCTAAAAAGTACCATGAACCTCCATGCAGCTCATATGCAAACCTGGGCACCGCACGAAGGGCGCGGGAGAACTTTGCGGTAGCAAAAGTGATTTGAGTCCAGCGCTATGCTACCCGAGTAGCTACACAGCAGCTGGCTAGCTTGAGGCACAAGAAGAGGCGCGTGAAGGCTTCAAAATGAGCACTAGAAGTACTGAGGCATCCTTCATCAACCTGGAGACTCGACATTAGGGTTTAGGGTTGAAGGTTTAGGGTTTAGGGCTTAAGGTTTGAGGTTTAAGGTTAGGGTCTATGGTTCAGGGTTTTAGGGTTCAACCCTGCATCCCACACCCAGCGCTCCCGGAAACTCTCAAATACTTTGCGCTCCAAACCCTCACGCCTGAGCCCTTAGCACCCTGAATCCCGAACACTCTGAACTGGTTTAGGGTTCGGAGTTCGGGGTTCGGGGTTCGGGGTTCGGGGTTTAGGGTTTAGGGTTTAGGGTTTAGGATTTAGGGTTTAGGGTTTCGGGTTAGGGTTTAGGGTTTAGGGTTTAGGGTTTAGGGTTTCGGGTTTAGGGTTTAGGGTTTAGGGTTTAGGGTTTAAAGTTAGGGTTTAGGGACTTTCAACCCTCAGGTCTGACCCAGGAACTGTGCAAGGACACCCTTTCGGCCACAACGCCGTAGCCTGAGAGAAAAATCACCTTCTGCCGGCTGGGTGGGATTAGGGTTTAGGGTTTAGGGTTTGGGGTTTAGGGTTCGGGGTTTGGGGTTTAGGGTTTAGGGTTTCGGGTTTCGGGTTTCGGGTTTGGGGTTTGGGGCTCAGGGTTTAGGGTTTGAATAGTTCCCAAATCTCCCGCCGATCCGGCCAATAAATTTGGCACCACAGGTGCAAGAAGCAAAAATGGGGAGCCGAACCTGTACTTCAGGGCCCTAGCCCTAAACCCTGAACCCTAAACCCTAAACCCTAAACCCTAAACCCTAAACCCTAAACCCAGCTATCCGATTCCCAAGCGCCCCATGGCGTCCTTGGCCTTGTGAGGGGGGCTCTCGTGGAAAGACTTCGCCGAAAGGACCGGGACTCAGGGCATTTAAGGGACTTAACGAGTCTGGGGGTTCAGGGTAAAGAGTTTAGGGTTTAGGGCTTGGGGTTTAGGGTTTAGGGTTTGGGGTTTAGGGTTTTGGGTTTAGGGTTACGGAAACGGGTTTAGGGTTTAGGGTGTAGGGTTAGGGTTTAGGGTTTGGGCTTTTCGGTGCTCTGGAGTGCAGTCTACCTCTAACTCGATGCGGTCGCAGTAGAACCTGGACCCCCAAAGCAGCTTTTCGAGGTCGGGTCGCCCCTGTCACTAAACCCTAAACCCTAAACCCTAAACCCTAAACCCTAAACCCTAAACTCTAAACCCTAAACCCTAAAGCCTAAATGTACTGCTCAATATGACTTTCTGAAACCCCTAGAAGGGAAACATAGAATATCACGGGCCCGGCTAGTTTAGGGCTTGGGGCTGTAGGCTTAGATCTTTAGGAGGCGGCTTTCAGGGTTTAAGGGTTGAAGTTCTGCGGAGTCTAGAGTTTGACGTTCTTGGGCGTTTGGGGCTTTCAGGGCTTCAGCCTTTAAGGATTCGGGTTTAGGGTTTAGGGTTTAGGGTTTAGGGTTTAGGGTTTAGGGCTTAGGGCTTAGGGTTTAGGACTCGTAACTTGGGAGGCCCTGCTACGAAAAATGCCTCGCTGGCATGACGCCCGGGTTTCCCCATCGGGTTTTCTCGACCGAAGACTTCGCGCCGGGCTTTCTTGCGTCTAGGGACTTCTGGGTTCCGGGTTTCGGGTTTCTCGCCTAAACCCAAAACCTTTAGGGTTTAGGGTTTAGGGTTTAGGGTTTAGGGTTTAGGGTTTAGGGTTTAGGGTTTAGGGTTTAGGGTTTAGGCTTTAGGGTTTAGGGATTTAGGACTTGTGGTTTCGAAGTCCAGGTGTTCTGGGGGTTTAGGGCTTTCGGGTTGAGATTCGCAGCAGTGCTGGGACTCAGCGTTTCAAGACGCTAGGAAGAGTAGGCCCCTCCTGCACAATAACCTCAAAGGGCTTTAGGGCTTCGGGGGTTTTGGGTTTAGGGTCTAGGGTTTAGGATTTTCTGGTTTAGGGTGCAGGGCTTAGGTAATGCAAGCAGTGGCTCTCGAAGTCTTGAAGTCTCAAAGATTTGCAGGCTACCTCTTGAAGGTCCTCCCCTCGTCACTCTGGCACTGCCTCAGAAGGGCACTTGACCACCCCGAAGCCCAAACCCTAAACTCGAAACCCCAAACCCCAAACCCTAAACCCTAAACCCGAAACCCTATGGTTTGAGCTGCAAGTTCAGGATTTGGGGGTGAGGTTTAGAGGGCTTGGCTGCATCCTGCTCAGGAGTCGAACCCCTAAACCCCAAACCCCTAAACCTTCAAAGGGCCCCCGAAACCCTAAAAACCCTTAAACCCTAAACCCCAAACCGTAAACCCCCAACCCTAAACCCCAAACCCTAAACCCCAAACCCTAAACCCCAAACCCTAAACCCCAAACCCTAAACCCCAAACCCTAAACCCTAAACCCTAAAGCCTGAAGCCTGAAGCCTGAAGCCTTAGAGACTGCCCAGTGGCCTGGCAACTCATGCCTGCGCAAGGCATTTAGGGAGAGGACATGGGACTTTGGGGTTTGGGGTTTAGGGTTTAGGGTTTAGGGTTTGGGGTTTAGGGTTTAGGGTTTAGGGTTTAGTGTTTAGGGTTGAGGGCCCTGGGGCTTAGGGGTAGGTAAGGATTTGCTTGGAGGTGACTGGTTTGGGTTCAGGGCTTCGTATGGAAGGTCTCAGGGCTTAGGGCCTCCTAAAACCCTCACCCCGAGCATGAAGGCACAAGGTTTTAGCCTCGGGCCTTTGGGGCCTTCTGAGACCCGAACTGCATTGATTCCGAACACCTTTCCGGGTACAAGATTTAGGGTTTAGGGTTGAGGGTTGAGGGTTTTGGGATCAGGGTTCAGGGTTCAGGGTTCAGCGTTTAGGGTTTAGGGTTTAAGGTCTAGGGTTTAGGGATTAGGGTTTAGGGTTTAGGGTTTAGGGTTTAGGCTGAGACAGGCCTGCGCACGGAGAGGCGACTCCGTGTAGTTGGCCCAGTCACCCCATGCTGAGCCCGTGAGGCCATCTTGGAAGAACATGCCAATGATCGCCATCCTTAGTTGTCCAGTAAGCTGGGGGAAATAAAGGTTCACCTTTGGGATTCTAAGGGGATTCTACTACCCCAAAAAGGTTACTCTACTACTAGGCATCATTGCAAGTCGTCCGTTGGCCAGCTCAGCGTTCCTCAGGGGAAGTGACCAATGCTCTTGCAACTTCCCTTGCTCTGCGACTTCTGCAGGTGCTCTGTGCATCACCAACTCGGGTATGGCCAGCTACATCTAGTTACTAATTGTCACTTATTCGTGGAACCTATCAGCAGCATGGCAAGGTAGGCGTCATACTCGATTTTGCTGGGGCCGCGGCAGCTTCTTCTGCTTGAGCTCTGCATCCTCGACGGGCTTTCCGCCCAGGTACGCGGGAATGCCCAAGAAGCCGTAGTCGTAGTTGAGGGCCTCCTCGCCGAACAGGCGTGTCTGCAGCTTGCCCGGAGGGTTGGTAGGACGCTGGTCCGCAATCCACAAGTCGCAGAGACCACAGAACACAGTGTACTGAAACCAGCCGACTGCTGGGACGACGGTCACGGCTTGAAGGCCATTGGGAATGTCAGCAAATTTCAGATCAGTCGATGGAGAAAGAAAGCCCGGAAAGCGAACAAACTCTTGGACGATATATCCAACGCATGCTAGCATGGCCACTCGGCCGTGTTTGATCTCCACCACTCGTCGGCGATAGAACTCCTGGGCATCGCCATCGCTTGTGAATCCTGCTGGATCCCAGAAACCCACGGGCGCTTGCACACCCAATTCGCTTTCGAATGCACGAAGAGGCGACTCCGTGTAGTTGGCCCAGTCACCCCATGCTGAGCCTGTGAGACCATCTTGGAAAAACATGCCAATGATCGCCATCATTGCAAGTCGTCCGTTGGCCAGCTCAGCGTTCCTCAGGGGAAGTGACCAATGCTCTTGCAACTTCCCTTGCTCTGCGACTTCCGCAGGGGGGGGGGGGGGGCATGTGTTGCTCTGTGCATCACCAACTCGGGTATGGTCAGCTACATCTAGCTACTAATTGTCACTTATTCGTGGAACCTATCAGCAGCATGGCAAGGTAGGCGTCATACTCGATTTTGCTGAGGCCGCGGCAGCTTCTTCTGCTTGAGCTCTGCATCCTCGACGGGCTTTCCGCCCAGGTACGCGGGAATGCCCAAGAAGCCGTAGTCGTAGTTGAGGGCCTCCTCGCCGAACAGGCGCGTCTGCAGCTTGCCCGGAGGGTTGGTAGGACGCTGGTCCGCAATCCACAAGTCGCAGAGACCACAGAACACAGTGTACTGAAACCAGCCGACTGCTGGGACGACGGTCACGGCTTGAAGGCCATTGGGAATGTCAGCAAATTTCAGATCAGTCGATGGAGAAAGAAAGCCCGGAAAGCGAACAAACTCTTGGACGATATATCCAACGCATGCTAGCATGGCCACTCGGCCGTGTTTGATCTCCACCACTCGTCGGCGATAGAACTCCTGGGCATCGCCATCGCTTGTGAATCCTGCTGGATCCCAGAAACCCACGGGCGCTTGCACACCCAATTCGCTTTCGAATGCACGAAGAGGCGACTCCGTGTAGTTGGCCCAGTCACCCCATGCTGAGCCTGTGAGACCATCTTGGAAAAACATGCCAATGATCGCCATCATTGCAAGTCGTCCGTTGGCCAGCTCAGCGTTCCTCAGGGGAAGTGCACAATGCTCTTGAAACTTCCCTTGCTCTGCGACTTCCGCAGAGGGCGGCATGCGTTGCTCTGTGCATCACCAACTCGGGTATGGCCAGCTACATCTAGTTACTAATTGTCACTTATTCGTGGAACCTATCTGCAGCATGGCAAGGTAGGCGTCATACTCGATTTTGCTGAGGCCGCGGCAGCTTCTTCTGCTTGAGCTCTGCATCCTCGACGGGCTTTCCGCCCAGGTACGCGGGAATGCCCAAGAAGCCGTAGTCGTAGTTGAGGGCCTCCTCGCCGAACAGGCGCGTCTGCAGCTTGCCCGGAGGGTTGGTAGGACGCTGGTCCGCAATCCACAAGTCGCAGAGACCACAGAACACAGTGTACTGAAACCAGCCGACTGCTGGGACGACGGTCACGGCTTGAAGGCCATTGGGAATGTCAGCAAATTTCAGATCAGTCGATGGAGAAAGAAAGCCCGGAAAGCGAACAAACTCTTGGACGATATATCCAACGCATGCTAGCATGGCCACTCGGCCGTGTTTGATCTCCACCACTCGTCGGCGATAGAACTCCTGGGCATCGCCATCGCTTGTGAATCCTGCTGGATCCCAGAAACCCACGGGCGCTTGCACACCCAATTCGCTTTCGAATGCACGAAGAGGCGACTCCGTGTAGTTGGCCCAGTCACCCCATGCTGAGCCTGTGAGACCATCTTGGAAAAACATGCCAATGATCGCCATCATTGCAAGTCGTCCGTTGGCCAGCTCAGCGTTCCTCAGGGGAAGTGCACAATGCTCTTGAAACTTCCCTTGCTCTGCGACTTCCGCAGAGGGCGGCATGCGTTGCTCTGTGCATCACCAACTCGGGTATGGCCAGCTACATCTAGTTACTAATTGTCACTTATTCGTGGAACCTATCTGCAGCATGGCAAGGTAGGCGTCATACTCGATTTTGCTGAGGCCGCGGCAGCTTCTTCTGCTTGAGCTCTGCATCCTCGACGGGCTTTCCGCCCAGGTACGCGGGAATGCCCAAGAAGCCGTAGTCGTAGTTGAGGGCCTCCTCGCCGAACAGGCGCGTCTGCAGCTTGCCCGGAGGGTTGGTAGGACGCTGGTCCGCAATCCACAAGTCGCAGAGACCACAGAACACAGTGTACTGAAACCAGCCGACTGCTGGGACGACGGTCACGGCTTGAAGGCCATTGGGAATGTCAGCAAATTTCAGATCAGTCGATGGAGAAAGAAAGCCCGGAAAGCGAACAAACTCTTGGACGATATATCCAACGCACGCTAGCATGGCCACTCGGCCGTGTTTGATCTCCACCACTCGACGGCGATAGAACTCCTGGGCATCGCCATCGCTTGTGAATCCTGCTGGATCCCAGAAACCCACGGGCGCTTGCACACCTTGGCCCGAGGAGGGTGGTACGTGGCTCTCGCGTAAACACTCACCATGCCTAAACCACATCGGGCACATAAAATGAAGAAGGAAAGCATGAGAACCAAAAACCCACAATCACCAAACAAATGCAATCCCCTAAACCCTAAACCCTGAACCCTAAACCCGAATCCCAAAGTCAGACCACCAAAACCTGGAAGCCTGCAACTCTCGTTCCCCCAACCGCCCGAAACTCTGCACCGCAGGCACAGCCGCGCTTGATTCGCCGAGGAGGTTTAGGGTCAAAAACGCTGACCCCAAATTAAGCCCTAAACCCGAAGCCCCTAAGTAGCCCCTAAAAAGCTCTAAATATCCCCCCTAAATCGCCCCCAGACCCACAGCCGAAACAGCCCCTAAACCCGAAAGCCGAAACCCATCTGCGACACCCAGCTCGGTCTCGAAGGCGCGCAGGGTGACGGCGCTCTTCCCATGCGCCTGATGCAGCTGTTGCAGGGCAGGGTTTGCGATCAAGGGTTTAGGGTTTAGGGTTAAGGTTCAGGGTTTAGGGTGTAAGCTTCCCTAAACCCTAAACCCTAAACCGTTAGGGTGCAGGGTTGAGGGTTAACAGTGGCAGGAGGGTCGGGGCTTAGGAGACTGACCTGTGTTTTGACAAGTTTCAATCCCCTAAACCCTAAACCCTACACCCTGTACAAACAAGGCCAAGGAAGAAGATCGAGGTTTCATGAGGTGGCGGGGATGGGCTTTGAAAAAATAGGTTTAGGGTTTGGGGTTTTGGGTTTAGGGTTTGGGGTTTGGGGTTGGGTTTAGGGTTTGGGGTCTGGGGCTTGAGAATGCTGAAAAGATACTCAGACTTTCTGGCACACGCGGGTCCCCGCATATTGACACAGACCCCAGGCATTGGGAAATCTCTGTGCCCTCCGTAAGCCCTAGACTCCTAAACCAAACCCTAAAGCCCCTCAACCCTATAAACCCCTATAAACCCCTATAAACCCCTATAAACCCCTATAAACCCCTATAAACCCCTATAAACCACTATAAACCCCTATAAACACCTATAAACCCCTCTAAACCCCTATAAACCCCTATAAACCCCTAAAAGCCCCGAAACCGACAACCCAAATCTTGGCGCGTGCCTTTCGGGCCCCTGCGGCAGCCACAGCCAGAAGGGCTGCGGTTGGCGCGGCGCTGCTGAGGCAGCCAGCTGCGGTCGGGGCTCGGGCGGCCTCGGGTTTCGGGTTTGGGGTTTCGGGCTTGGGGTGTAGGGTTTAGGGATTAGGGTTTAGGGTTTCGTTTTGGGGTTTAGGGTTTCAGGCTTGGGGTTTAGGGGTTAGGGCTTCGGGCTTAGGGTTTAGGGTTTGGCTTCAGGGGATTGAAGACTTCGTCTGCGGGGTTTGGGGTCGTGTTCGGATCTTTAGATTTATTGCGCTCTGGAGTTTGGGGCTTTAGGCCTTAGGCTTCAGGGCTTAGGGTTGAGGGTCTACCCGAAAGCCCCCTAAACCCTAAACCCTAAATCCTAAACCCTAAACCCTAATTAAATCCTAATTAAACCCTAAACCCTAAACCCTAAACCCTAAACCCTGAACCCTAAACCCTAAACCCTAAACCCCCAAAACCCCAGCCTCGGCGTGGCGCGAGCTGCGCAGCTGGGGCGCGCCGGTGCGGGGGGCAACGAAAGCGGTCGCGGCCGCAAGGCCTGTGCAGGTTTAGGGTTTAGGGTGTAGGGTTTGGGGTTTGGGGTTTGGGGTTTAGGGTTTAGGGTTTAGGGTTTACGGTTTAGGGTTTAGGGTTTAGGGTTTAGGGTTTGGGGTTTTGGGTGTTGGGTTTTGGGGTTCAGCATGTCAAGTCCAAGCATTCACTAGTCAAGAAATTACCCCAGAAAAACACCCACCCGCCCAAAGAATCCCACAACATTAAGAAAATATTTCACTTATGGCACGACCTTGCCCAGTAAAAAAATGACCTTGCCCAATAAAAAAAAATGACCTTGCCCAGTAAAAAAAAAAAAAAACGACCTTGCCAGTAGAAAAATGACCTTGCCCAGTAAAAAAGTTTTAAAAAAAAATGACCTTGCCCAGTAAAAAAAAAAAGACCTTGCCCAGTAAGTAAAAACATGACCTTGGGCTTGCAGACATGGGCCGTGTCAGGCCCTAATTAAACCCTAAACCCTAAACCCCAAACCCTAAACCCTAAACCCTAAACCCTAAACCCTAAACCCCAAACCCTAAACCCTAAACCCTAAACCCCAAACCCTAAACCCTGAAACACGAAGCAGCAAAACGTACACGCCCAAATGGTCCAAGAGCACCTGGCAAGAGGCACCAAGAGCCCACACGTGCAAAACAGCGAAGACCGTGTCGCATTATTTGGCCGAACACAGACGTCCAAAAGCGAAGACGTGAACGCAGACGTCCAAAAAAGACACCAGTAGCGCATTTGGCCACACGCGCCGCACTCGATCTAGCCCCTCTATGCCCCTTTAGCTCATGGAAAAGTGTAGACACACTGCTTGGGAGCCTACCAAACCCCAGGAACCCTAAACCCTAAATGCTGAAAACCCTAAACCCTAAACATTAAACCCTAAACCCTCACAACCCTCAAAACCCTCAAAACCCTAAACCCTAAACCCTAAAGACCCCAAACGCCGAAATCCTACGCGTAGACTTCAAGAGCGCTAGTGGGACCAAAGTTCTCCTACTTCCACCCTTTGGGGGCCCAAAACCCTACACCCGAAAAGCAGCAAGCAAACCAGGGTTTAGGGTTTAGGGTTTAGGGTTAAGGGCCAAGGGTTAAGGGTTGAGGGTTTAGGTTTTAAGGTTCAGGGTTCAGGGTTCAGGGTTCAGGGTTCAGGGTTCAGGGTTTAGGGTTCAGGGTTCAGGGTTTAGGGTTTAGGGTTTAGGGTTTAGGGTTTGGGGTGTAGGGTTCAGGGTTTAGGGGTTTAGGGTTTAGGGTTTAGGGTTTAGGGTTTAGGGTTTAGGGTTTAGGGTTTAGGGTTCAGGGTTTAGGGTTTAGGGTTTAGGGTTCAGTGTTTCGGGCAGGATCCTGCCTCCGGTCGCCAGCACAATTGCGCTTGTCTTCGCTGCCATGATCTAAGGTTGCGCCGGCACCCTGCCCCCGCACTGATCGGAAAACTGCGGCCGGTTCAGGGTTTACGGTTTAGGGTTTAGGGTAATTTAGGAGGATCGAATGTGGTTTGTGCTTCTTCTGATACTGGCGCGTTCACCGCTACCCCGTATACTTAATACTCCCATTATAGTTATGTTGCAGAAAATATGGGGGGGTTTAATATTGCGGGTAAGTGGGTTTAATCATCCCTTATTAGGGGGAGGGGGTTCAAGGGTGGCGGTGTCGACTTTCGGTCTTAGGGGGAGAGGGTTAGGGCTCGGGTTCTTGTTGAGAAGGATCCATCTTCTGCAGCAACCGAAGGTGCTTGGCTCTAGGGCCTCTCCGCCTAAAACCCTAAACCCTAAACCCTAGATGGTCATAGAGACCCGACCGATTGAGATCCGCCACTGCATCTAGGTTTTGCGTTTACGACTTAGGGCCTACCACCCTCGGTTTGACAAGTCCGTTGTCGCTGTTGCTTGCTTTTTGTCTCGCTTCCGGCAGTCATGTTGGCGAGGGCATCACCGGCTTCAGCGCACCTGGGTAGGGTTTAGGGTTTAGGGTGCTTTTATGCTTTGGGGTTTAGGGTCTAGGGTTTAGGGTTTAGGGTTTAGGGTTTAGGGTTTAGCATTTAGCGTTTAGGGTTTAGGGTTTAGGGTTTAGCGTTTAGCGTTTAGGGTTTAGGGTTTAGGTTTAGGGTTTAGGGTTTAGGTTTAGGGTTTAGGGTTTAGGTTTAGGGTTCAGGGTTTGGGGTTTAGGGTTCACGGTTCAGGGTTTAGGGTTGGGGGCTCAGGGCCTTAGAGGACCAGCCCTAGAGCTTCTGACAAGATGCCTGACAGCAGCCCAATCCTGAACCCAAAAGGCAATCAAACCAAAAACCCTTTGAAGCCCCAATCCCTTAAACCCTAAGCCCCTAAAACGCCTACACCCCTGAAACCCTGTACCCCTAAACCCCGCAGATCGTAGATCCTAAACAACCCTAAACCCTCCTCATAGCTTCCCAGGTTCGGCGTGCAAGTTGCGTGAGGTGGCTTAAGGGCGGGTGGCCGTTTATGGCATAGCACCGTTTCGAGTTTAGGGCGTAGGGTTGAGTTTAGGGACGCCTCCGGCAAGGAAGCTGCACTCCTCCACTTCACACACAAACAAAACAGTCAGAGAACTGCCTTTAACCCGTGAACCCCGAAAAAAGAACTCCCCAAACTCTGCAAAGCCTCTCGCCTCTCAACCCCCGTAACTTCAGCCAACAGCCTCAGCGCAGATCAGACTCCTCAACACCCTAAACCCTAAACCCTATAAACCCTGTAAGCCCGATTCCTACACATGGGGACGAATCGCTTCACCC